CTATCTTTGGAGCAGAATTCATTTTTTCTTCTTCCAACTCTTTCCTTCACTGGTTCACATGGAAGGCAAATTCTAGCCTATATCTTACCCAGAATGCCTAAGACATATGCTCTTAAATTCCAGCTCTGACATATGTCTGCTGAAAAGTCTTAGGCAAGTCACTTAATCTCTCTGAATTCTGTTTTCTTGAAGTATTGTCTTCATTATTCTTCTATTGCTGTGATAAAAACACCATGACCAAGGAAACTTATAAACTAAAGTGTTTAATTTGGTTTACAGTTTCAAAGGGTTAGCATCCATGATGGTTGACCAAAAGAACAGCTGAGAACTCACATCTTGATCCATAACTATGAAGAAGAGAGAAGCATTAAGAATAACACTAGCCTTTGAAACCTCAAAGCCCACCCCCTTTAACACTTCCACCAACCAGGTCATACTTCCTAATCCTTCCCAAGCAGTTCCACCAACTGGAGATCAAATATTTAAACCTATGAGTCTATGTGGTGTATTCTTATTCAAACCACTACATGTCATAGGATGTTATATCAGAAAACTGTCATGGAGATCACACAAGGAAACCAACTGTAGAAGCACATGTAGAGTGCTCAAGAGAAACTCAAATGCTAGTTTCAGTCCTTCCATAGACCATATGTTCAACAAATATTCCTGGAACCAATAAATGAATACGAAGTAGAGGTGAGTATATATTGTTTTGCAAATGGAATGTAGAAAAGAATCTTATTAACCAACAAGGCTTTCTTTTAAACACAAGCCAGAAAAAATATAGCCCATTCAATGTTTTTAATTATCTTCTGATTCAGAAATAAAAGACTTTGTCCGGGCTTATGGAAAACATGATGCCACATCCTGTTTTTTCCCCTCACATTAATTGTTATAAAAGGTTTCAATCATGATGCTACTTTGTCCAAATATAGCTTTCTTGCATGAAAGAGATTTGGAAAGCAATGCCTTGTATTCTACAACCTGCGATGAAGACAGGAACAAATTGCAGGGCCTACTTTTAGAGGAGACGCTACTGAATTTGATGAAGCACAAGTTATCTCGCTACAAAAGGGAATCTCCTGACAGTAAGGGCTGCCACAACATCACACCAGGCAGAAAACCATGCGAATTTCCTCCAAATGTGGTATTCCAGACATCTTGAGCATGAAAGAGGATTTGCACCAAGACAAGGTCTGTCGAGCTTCCTAACCGGATAGGTCATAGGGTGTGCGAGGTGATGTGGCACAGGCAGCCCCATCACTCTCCATCCTTGGTGGCTACTTTTGGGATGTGTACAAGCTAGTTACCCGATTGCTTTGTTTCTCTGTGGTTCAGAAGCAAGGTCTTTTTCCTCTTTGTTTCTTCACTAGAGCCAATGAGTTTTAATTTAATTGCCATATGGCATGACCTTCTTAGGACTAACATCAAGACCCTGGTCAAAGAAGAGCTCTTTCTCAGATAGCTGGATACTTTAACAGGTAGCTGGAGCTGGTGACAGAGATGGCAGACACAGGACAGACAGTTTAGGAATTCCACACTCTCACTGGGACAACGGCATATAAACACAACATATACTAGGAAAGGTAGCTAAGCACATTATCACCTGCAATGTAGGACATCTTGGTCTCTCCAGCTGCATTAAAAGTACTAAAATGTGTGTGTGTGTGTGTGTGTGTGTGTGTGTGTGTGTGTGTGTGTGTGTAATATATTAAAATGTATAAAATACAGTGTGAAAATAAATTTTTAAGTGTGATATCAAATTCAAAATATAAAAGAAAAACTGAAGTATTTAAATACACAAAACTCAACATTTATGTGGTGAGAAAAACCATATATAAAGGTAAATAAGAAATATAAGAGAACAGTTGTGATATCTGTGAGAGAGTTCACTTTTAATGCATAAAAGGCACTTCTGGAGCTGGAGAGACAACTGTGAGCAAAGTCCTTACTGTGCAAGTAACAGGACCTGAGTTCGGACCCAACACTCAGGCCTCGTGACCTGAGCCTGTGTCTCTAGTACTAGGGAGTGGGGACAGACACTTCTGCTTGGTTCTAGGATGACATTACATTGCTCTGATTTCTTTGATGACCACTGCATAGTTCAGTCTCTAGTGTTTGTGTAGTTCCTGAGGTTACACTTGCTGTGCTTTCTAGTTTCATTTTACTTATGTCAAGTTTTGTATGTGTTAAGGTACGCCATGCCTTGTGGCCTTTAATGTGGTCAACCTTCTAGAAAGTTTTATGTGCTACTAGAAAGAGTTTATTTGCTATTTGTTGTGTTTTCTGTCTGTAAAATTCTGTTGACCTGTGGTTTAATTTATCTCTTAAGTTTCTTTGCCAGCTTTTATTTTGCAAGGTCAAGCTAAACATGAAAGTAGGGTATTGAAGTCTCTCACAATTACTGTGTCAGGATCCACATGGCCTTTTATGCCTTTTAAAGCTTCTTTTATGAAATTTAGAGACACAAGATTTATTACATAAAAATTTATAGTATTTACAACTTCTTGATGAATTGTTCCTGACTAGTTTTGAAGTATACATTATCAGATAAGAAAATCACTACACCAGTTCACTTATAAATCCCATTTGTGTGACAGTTTGATCTCCAACTTTTGACTCTCAGTTTTGAGATTTTTTTTCTAGTCATGAGAACTTCTTAGAGACAACAGAAAATTATATCTTGTTTCATAATTCAATCTGTTTGTAGGCTTGTATTCAGCCTACTTTAGTGTCTGTTGCTGTGATAAAACACTAACCAAAAATCAACTTAGAAGAGAAAGGGGTTTATTTGGCTAACAGGTCACAGTCCATCATCAGGGTAAGCCAGGCAGGAACTGAAGCAGAGACCACAGAGGAGGCTATGTACTGCCTTGCTCCTTGTGGCTTGCTCAGCTCCATTTCTTATACAGTCCAGGACCACTTGCCTAAGAGTGGCACCACCCATGGTAGGCTGGGCCTTGCTACATCAGTCAGCAATCAAGAAAATGCTCCCCCAAACATGCCTACATGCCAATCTGGTGGAGGCAATCTTTCAGTTGAGATTCCTGGAATGTCTAGGCCTGTGCAAGTTGACAGAAACTAACAACTATAGCATTTTTAAATGGGTAAGGTGAATCCATTTGCATTCAAATTTATTATTCAGTGGTTATCAATTAGTTTTAGCTATCAATTAGTTATTTTGTTGGAAGTTTTTCTGGTTGGTTGGCCTTTTGGGAGTCCTTGTCTTCCTTTCTAGACTCTTCCATCTCTTGGGCTCTTAGGTTTGGTTTCTTCGTTGCACCTAGATTTTCTGGAACGTTCCTTTTCCTTTGGGTCCATCTGTAGGCACTCCTGTTCTTGTGTCTTTGCCTCCGTTTCTAACATTTGTCCTTTTGCTCATGAGATTTCTGGTTTGGGGTTCGGTTTGGTTGGTTGGTTGGTTGTTTGATTAGGTTTTGGTTTTGGTTATTTTTAGCTTGGTTGCTTGGTAGAATAGATGATTCTTCATTTCCAGAATTCCTCTTTGGTTATTTTGCAGTGCCTCAATTTTTTGGCTGAACTTTTCCTCCACGTTCTTACATTTGTCCTCCGAGGTACTGATAATGTCACTCACTCTGGTAACTTTCGTTTCTAAGCTCTCAACCGCTATGCTTGTCTGCCTCTCCTGTACGGCTGTAGTCTGCACTGCTAGGGTCTGCTGGTCCATCAAGATGGTGCATGATGTTCCACTACACTCTGTCTGGGGTCCTGACCCTTGGTTGATCAGATAGTGGGGATCGGGGGGTGGGGGGTAAGCTTGCAGATCTGTCAATTTCAGGTCCCCATACCTCTTTTCTAAAGCTGTGTCTGTGGTTTGCCCCACTCTCCCCAGTGGGCAGGCTGAGTTCAGCCTCAGTTACTTTCAGCCTCTGCCATACTTTTCCTGTGGCCCAGTCCCTTGCTCATCTGTGCAGTGGTAAATGTGAGGACGCGGCGTTCTAGGTCCCATAGAGCTTTTCTGTGCCGTACCCATGGTTTGTCCAATGTCCTCACTGGGTAGGCTAAGCTCAACCTCCATCACACTCTTTCCTTTCCTGGGTACTTTAAATCACCTGTAGATTGCTTATAATGCATTGCTTAGACACTGTGCATACTATGGAAGTAGTTAGACTACAGTTTTTCAGAAATAATGACAAGGAAAAAAGTTTACATCAAGCTCACGTGTCCAGTACAGATGCTCTCATTTGTTTGCTTTTGTTTTTTCAATCTCTGTTGAATCCAAAGACGCAGAACCCAAGGTCCTGGAAGTATGAAAACCTTCTCTCATACTTCGTTGTCAAGGATGAGTATATAGTAGGCATTTAGAATTATGCCTGGCTCAAGAATTGTCATTGGCTGCCTGTTATTACAGTGACCTTGGCTCGGAGTCCTTGCTTACCCTTACCACCTAAAGTCACACCATTTCTCAACTTAAAATGACTGTGAGGAACCCATAGCACAGATAGTATGCAGGTCCCAAGGCTCGAAAGAGTACCTGCATCCACCTACCACACTAAACCCACCAACTACTTAATAATAGGTAAAAAGGTTAAAAAAAAAAAGTCTATTTATAGCAGCTGACTTATCAGGTCAACAGAAGTGAATATGTGCATAAGCAATGGATTCTAACAAACAACTGGTCTCATGTTCATGGTGCCCCTTCCATGCCTTGGCCTTTGATCCTGCAGGACTTACTTATGAATGAACAGACCAAAATTTTTTCTTTCAAAAAATATGGTAGCAAGCACAACTGAGAAAAAAGCCTTTCCTCTAACAAAGGCGGCCCTGCACGTGCTGCCGGAAGTGAGAGCAGTCATCTTCCTTCACCCTTGCCTGATGTTCACCCTCACCAAGAAGCATCTTCTCATGGGTCATTTTTAGAAATATTAACTCCCATTCTTTTTGTGGCGTAGACTTAAAACATGATGTTGATTCCCATTTCATAGTTTTAAATAAATTAATACCATTGACTGATTGATGTGGGGGAAACTCTAGTTTACCTCAATTGAACTGGTCCCCAGCAATTTTCATGGATGCTTGTTCCATTATACAGGGCTCACAGTTTCTGAAACAAAAATCGACATGTGGTTTGACAATCAGGAGTCTATTTATAGGGACAGGATAGTTAGCAAACCAGAAAATCCAGGCCATATGCATGCCATTAACTATATATAATGAATGATGTGTATGAATAATGTATGGACATGTGGGCTGGCTAGTGCCTCTCAACTGGTCAAGGTACATGAACAGCCTTTCAGGGGTTGGCTAATTGAGTCACTATGCTACTCGTGGTCTCCTTTCCAGTGGCTTATTTAATTGATGTCAACTCTCTTTATTAAATCATTTAATCTGTAAAAATGATAGATAGCTTTACATTATGTCTTCTCTAAGTGAACTATAAAATTGTTTTTTAAAATCTTTTAATTCAGCTAAGAAACTCACAAGGTTGCACATGAGCACATGAACCATTAATTCAATAAATATGATTAAAACAATATTTCATTAACTTACTGATTGCCAGTGAATAAAATAAACTCATGATGTTCCTCAGACATATTTTGGAACCTTACAAGTATTTGAATGAAAAATGAGTTTGCCTGTGTCTACTCCGATCCATTTCTCTGAACAGAAGCACACAGTGGCAACAAAGACAAGGAAGCCTTGCCTAGATGTGAGCTAGGGAACATGGCCAAAGGACTCCAGGAGTTGGTGTTTGTTACAGACTTTAAACATATGCATTCTGTGCAAACACAATTAGCAGTGTTGTCTTTTAGATGGAATGCTAGCTTCTTTTCAAAAGACATTCAAAAACTTGTCAAAAGTTTTAGCTGAAGTTTTGATATGAAATGTTTCTATTTTTCAATAAAAAGTTAATCAATGGTTTAAAACTCAAAAATCTATTTTAATTATTTATTTGGGTGTTTGTTTGTTTGGGGTTTTTTCCCTACAGGTGATGGCCAAGACCCAAACCTTTGCCTCAGCACACCCTACCACCCCTCCTATTCTAGCTAGTATGACAAGCTGTCAAGACACAATATACATCCACAGGTATACCACATGCATAAATGCAGGTCTTCGAGCAAGCACACCACAGACTGTGGCTGCATCAGCATCCTAAGTAAGCCTGGCAATTGCAAAACAAACTGGCTCTCACTGTGCAGAGTGAGCCATCCATTCTCTCCCAGATGGTTTGAATAAAGTGCAAGCCACGCCACAAGAAAACAAAGTCTGCTTTGGGGCACCGACTGAGGAGGATGGGCAGCAGGTATGGGCCACAGAGGTACTTTCAGCCTGCACCTGCCTGGGGGAGAACTGTTTGAATCTGTCTGATAAACGAGTCAGGTTCAGTCTTCTAGAAAAATCTGCTCCCTGAGGTCTAAAAAAGTTGTCATGGGAGAGCTGGAGAGACGGCTCCATGGCTAAGGGCACTTGCTGTTCTTCCAAAGGACCTGGGACCAGTTCCTAGCACCCACATCTGGTGGCTCACAACCACGAGAAAAATCCAGTTCCAGGGTAACCAACATACTTTTCTGGCCTCCAAGGACACTTGAATGTACATGGAACCCATACATAACCTCAGGCACACACACATACACATAAAATAAATAACTACATTGTTTTCTTTTCTTTTTTTCTTTCTTTTTTTTTTTCTTTTGTTGTTGTTTTTTCTGAGACAAGGTTTCTCTCTGTAACAGTCCTGACTGTCCTGGATCTCGCTCTGTAGACTAGGCTGGCCTGAAACTCACAGCGATCTGCCTGCCTCTGCCTCCTGAGTGCTGGGATTAAAGATGTGCACCACCACTGCTTGGCATAACTACATCTTTTGAAAAGGGATTTCATGAGGAATGATTTCGAAGGTTTGGAAGGGCCAGTAAGACCACAAAGTGCACAAAAAAGCCAAGCATTATATTACAAAATGTGTCACTAACTTTTTCTATGAATTTTATTTGTGTGATTGAATGTATGGTAGAGAGAAGGATACATACATGTAATAATGCCTTCTCTTTGTTTCAGTCTATGCAGTGTGTCCTGTGTGTAAGGTGTCACTCTGTGCACTGTGCCCCGTGTGTAAGGTGTCACTGTGCAATGTGTCCTGTGTGTAAGGTGTCACTCTGTGCAGTGTGCCCATTGTCTAAGGTGTCACTCTGTGCAGTGTGCCCCGTGT